GAATAGAGAGTTAAATTCAATTGATATATTACAATTATTGAATAAGGTTAGAAACAATCTGAGTTGTCAATACTGAACAGACGTTTTGAATTCTTCACACAGTGTTAGTTTGTTATGCATGTTCAAAAATGAAACCTTTCTCGTAATCGCATATATAAGTAGGTATAAAAAATATCCACTATGTTGACAACAATGTGTCCCTTTCGTGTTTGAATAGAATGTCCCATGTCTTACTTAATCTTTTAGTGGTATGCTAATTTTGGGTTTGTTATGCCCAGTGATTAGGGAGCATAAAGCTATTTAATATGATATATATATCCCTTTGTTTTTATCATTTTACTTTTTGAGTAAAGTACCTCATTTTTCACTATTTGAGTGAACACATTTTGCTATATGAGTAAAGTACATCATCGTTTTACTTATCTGAGTAAAACGCATCATTCTTTTCGTCTCGTGAAATTAATGTGAATGGTTCACATTTGTCCTTGTACTGTGTAAGGTGGTTTATTTATATTTATATTTGTTGCTTTATGTAAGTTCATGCGGATTATGTTTATTTGCACAATATTTGGATCTTATGCACGCACGCATTAAACAATATTTATCTCTTTCAAGTCACACACATAAAAAACCATTGTATTCGTACCACCATCAAAAGTGTTATGTTATAAATCCAACATCCAACTCCGTTATCTTGTTGCAAATGGTGTCTGAAGTGGGATCATTTTGGATTTAAGGGAGCACTAAAACTATTGTTTCATTGTTCTTGTATGATCTTTTGTGTTTCCGATGTTCTTGACAAGACGGCGATGTTATAAAATGCCATTTAACATTATATTACTTTTTGTACATATTTCAATTTTTTTTGTTGCCTTCTAAGAAGGAACAAATGGCGTGTTTGTTTTAAACTATAGTAGTGACACCTTTTGACATAATACTTTTGTCATCAATGAAAGAATTTGTGGAACTGGGGAAGCAGTTTGGCTGTGAGGGGGAGTCTGAATAATTTTGTTAGCGAAGAACAGGCAAGGGAACAGGATCAAATGGTAAAGGAGAGGGAAATCGAAAGGGAGACATTAGAGACAGAGTGATAGGAAGAGCAGTAAAGAAGGAAAGCCAAGAAAAGCTTGTTAAAAGGAGAAGATACAATTGGAAAAACAAACCGAAAAGGATAGGATATAATGGGAGAGGGAAGCAGAAAGCGAACAGATAGTTAGAAAAGCAAGCAGAAAGGAAAATGTGCAACTATTAACAAAAGTAGAGGATAGAAAAGCAGAAAGGAAAAACAAGTGAGAATAAAAGCTTTGGAGATAGAAGATATATATATATATATACATATATATATATATATATATATATATATATATATATATATATATATATATATATATATATATATATATATATGGGGAGAGGGAGTGTCAAAGAAATTCTAAGCTATTGCAAAACAATAGGGATGCTGAATATGATGCTAAAATGAGAGGTCCAAAATTGCCCCCATTTGAAGAAGACAAAGATAACATTGATAGTTATCAATAGAGGTTTGAAAGGTACGCCACTGTACAAAAATGGAAAATAGGGATTGATCGCGTAATTTTAGTACGTTGTTGAAGAGTAAAGCATTAGACGTGTATTCGCGTTTATCCTTAGCCGATTAGTTAAATCACCTCGTATAGAAAGAAGCACTTCTAAAGAAATACGAGCTAGCCAAGCAAGGGTATCGCAGGAAGTTTAAGTATAGCTTACCCGAGAGAGGCGAGACTTTAACCCAGTTCGTCATTAGGACGTGCAATTACTTTCAGCGTTTGGTGCAATGTGGTAGTGTCGTTAAGACATTTGAGGGTTTTATCGATTTCTCGTTTTAGGACCAGCTATTGACAACTTGTGGCAAGGAGTTGCATTTATTCTTGATGGAAATGTCCTTCACGAATATTTATGACATGGCCACACAGGCGTATTTATTCGCTGAAGCTCTAGGAGGTTCTCCGATTGTCATCTAGCGAGACGGAGAGGTGGGAATCAAGCTAAGGACAAAAAAATCCAGGTAACCTGAAAAACCAGGTAGGGATAACCAGGGAAGGTATAAGGACAAGCAATGTTTCACTTGCAAGGAGTGTGGTTTTATCTCTCCAAATTGTTCTAAGCAGAAGGGATCAGTCTAGAGAGTCACGTTAGCCATTAGAGGCAGACGGAGGTTAGATGGAAAACTCAATGTTTCCCAGCAGGCTAATCGGGAAGCAGTGTACGATCCAGTGGTGCGTGCAAGGATCGGTTACGACACTGTCCAATAGATCGGCACACGTAATTTGCCCGAGGCAATTATACCAACGGCAAATGGCACTGTCAAAGGACAAAAGGTGACTGTTTCACGAGACACCCGGTGTACTAGTGTAGTCGTGAATCGGAGCCCTATTCACGATGACCAATGACTATGGTTTAAATCGCCTTTTATGCTACTGGACTAAACAATCGACCAAGATCCTGTCACAAGGATTGTTAT